GTATAGGCCTAGATATTCTGCTCCGGATATTAATTTATTTGATTGGCAGATTAATTGATATAGGTCTATGGATGATTTTTTAAATCAATTTATAATTTTTGGTTTTGAGGAGGTGATCGTGTGTAATAATCCCCTCTACCATCACTGACAAGACTGGGTCATAATCAGAATCGAATTCGTGATCGATAATAATAGGCCTACTTAGAAAGACTTGGTGTAAACTATTAAGACATTGGATTTCATGTTCCCGACAAGAACATGCTAATTACATCGTTGTCAATAAAAAAAATCAATCGAGTACAGAGCACTTAAATTGCCAGGCCTCCAGGTTTCCTTCCTGTCCTGTGCTACAGCCGTTCTTATAGATAACACCAGATAATGACTTGCATACAATATGGTATTTATGCCAACCCATTTCATTCATTTTTTCCTGGTGCAATGTAGCTTTATGTACTGTTCATTAATATTACTATACATAAATTATTTGATCTTGGCACAGGTAGAAGGAAAAAAATGTTTAAGAGAAGGTAAAATTACGTTGCAAAGGCTGGCAAAGTCAATATTGACAATATTTAAAACCATATGGTTACCGCTTGGCCTCAGGATACTCTGCTGAGTGACATCAATCAAATCCAGGGTACTTTAAGAAACTACCATATTATACAGATGTCAATAACACACACTCATGCGTGTCACATACCTCCATGAATGGTTTCACCATCCATGCACCTAATATGCCTTTTCTAATTCTTGTATAATTAATAAAATGAAAAACAACATATGAACAAACGATTAGAACAATAGGCAGTCTGGCCCGTGCACAGAATGTGGCCCCTTTGAAATAATAATAATTAGAACTGGATTATCTCTTAGCTAATTTGTTAATGAACGTGTACAGCTCAAAATACCAAGGTCTTTGTTTAGACCCTGTGTATGAGTGTTTAACCCTTAAAACCCAACGCATCTCATAACATTTTCTATCTTTGGTGGAATTATATCCATGGCCTTGATGATAACATGTATGTATATATATAT